GTTCGTGAAGTTGGTCGGTTGGTGGCTCTGGTGATTTGTTTGGGTTTGAAGCAGCTTGGACGGTCGCCCTGGCCAAAGTCGGACCTAAATTTAAAAATGAGGATTAATAAAATAGTAAGGAAAGAATCAGATTAAGTTAGGAGTATGGTAACATACCTGGACGAAGTCGGGTCTTTACGGGTGCCCGACCTGATGAGCGGTCTATCAATGTCTGTTGATTGTCTCCAGAGAAGGGAATAGCCTGAGTCTGAGAAGCTCTTCTTTTCCTCTGTGGGGTGCCTGATCCAGTGCCTTGAGTGATTAATTTCCTTCGGGTGTTGGTTAATGGGGTCGTCCCTAATATCAACGCAGGCTGGGGTAGGAGAATGCCCAATCATGCAATCCTTGTCAGGAGCAATTAAGGCCCATGTGACCGACCACCATTCGCGAAAGGATTCGTTTGAAGCTGGAGAGGTTCGGAAAGGAATGTAGGAATTAGAAGTTATGTAATTGGTAAGCTGAGATACATAAGGAGCGATCAATTCAGGAATGACTCTCCCATCTGGACTTTGAATTATTAAATGTGGATAGGCGATGGGACCAGGTAAGCCTTGTTGGCATCTGAATTGGCGTGCCAAAAATTGAGGCTGATAGTTGAAGGTATAAAATGCTTTGGGGCCTTTCTTATCAATTTTCTTACTAATAAATAAAGACCTAGGTTTAAGAGCAGCATCCCAGGAGAAAGAGTAAGTTGGATGCGGAAGTGGATCTGGTTCGGACAAAGGCGAAGATACAGGGATTGGCCAAAACAGGCCGGACGCGTAACCGACGTACTTTCGGTACATGTAGAATCGAGAGTTACTACGGTCGTCGGCTAGAATAGCAGTAATGATAGGGTCGGATGCTTGGAGGTTATTACGACCCAAGCAGAGTCTGTTGAGGGCTATTCCCAGAGATTTATCAGGTGTGGGAGCAACGGGGGGTTGACCAAGTTGGAACGCGTCGAGAAAGTAGAGACGGAACCATAATTCCAAGAACCAAAAAGGGCCCGACGCGGCGGTATCTAATTTTTTACCATCCTTATCTGTAAGGCGGGTGCTAACCTTGGATAACCCTTCAAAGAGATTGGCAAGGAAAAGAGTACCTAGAGAAAAGAATCGGCCAGAGGCTATATGTATGGCCAAGTCAAGATGAGAGGGAAGGACGCATTTCGAAGGGGAAACGATGACATACCTACAGAGCCAGAAGAGCAGGCAGGCAGTATGCTCACGGTCAGTCACAGGGGTCCCATCTGCTCCTTGCTGGTCGTTTAAAAATTTGGTCCAGCCCCATTCCTTAACACCAGCCAGAGACCAGCCCGAATGGTCTGCATTGGGCTCTTGCCCATCTAGGGCACCCATTACAAGGTCTTCTCCTACAATTGGCAGATGTGCGATCATGGCCATATCCATGAGTGTGGGGCCGATGGGGGCTGTAGGAAGAAGGAAGACGCACATCTCATGGTGCCAGAACACCGACAGTGCTAGAAGAACTTTCTTATGTAAATGACATGGGAGCGTAGACAGAAGTATGACCTGGTCGATTTGTTGGTTTTTCCATTGATCTTGAAAGTGTTCTGCTACCCTTTTGTACCAGGTGCGGTAGGGATCTTTGGGATCCGTCAGATGAGTTTTGATGCTATCATGAAGACGGATAGCGTTGTAGTTGGGATTTTTGATAGCTAGTAGATTTCCTGCCTCCAAGACCTCTCTCATTCGATTGGAGTCTTCCGAAGTAGTGCAATATGGGCGAATGGTTGGAGTGATCATTTTTGTCGCTACGAAAGCTGTTTCAGGAACTGATCCGTTGAAGGGAAGCGCAGGTATGTATTGATTTGTCATGGTTGGGAATTGCAGAGAGTGAGAACAGCAAAGGCTAGTAGTGGAGATGGAGAGTTTTGTGGCTCACAATGTGTTCAAGTAACTAGTTGCAGTTGCAGAGGCAATTCCTTAGAAGGGGTGATTATATATATATATATTGCGAACTTCCAAACGATGATTGAGGAATCACGTTTGAAAGTCTGATGGCGGTGGGCAAGTTGTTACGTATGAAATTTATAATTAGGTTAAAAAGCCCAAGTTAGAAGAAAATATGAGCCTATAATTGGGTCTGTTAGATTGATCAATGAATGTTTCGAGAATCGGGTGAATAATACGTATTTCTAAGCATATAAGTGGGCCGGAAGGTCCACAGGTCGGAAGGTCCGCAGGTCGAAAAGTCTGCAGGTCGGACAGTTTGCAGGTCGGAAGGTCCGCAGGTCAGAAAGTCTGCAGGTCGGACAGTTTACAGGTCGGTTGGTCAGCGTGTCGGATGGTATGCAGGTCGGGAGGTCTGTGGTCGGACCAACAAGTCGGATGGTCTGCAAGTTGGGAGGTTTGCGGCTGGACCAACAAGTCGGATGGTCCGCAAGTTGGGAGGTTTGTGGCTGGACTAACAAGTCGGAAGGTCTGTGGTCGGGCCAACAAGTCGGTTGGTCAGCGGGTCGGATGGTATGCAAGTCGGAAGGTCTATAGTCAGACCAACAAGTCGGATGGTTTGCAAGGCGGGAGGTTTGTGGCTGGACCTACAAGTCGGAAGGTCTGTGGTCGGGCCAACAAGTCGGTTGGTTTGTGGGCGGATAGGCAAGTCGGTTAATTCACAGTTGGATGAACGAATTGTTGGTTGTTGTGGAGGTCGGATGCCGCGGAAAGCAAGTGAGAATAAGAGCTCGGTCGGCTGAGAGCACGTGTCAGCAAAAGAGGGTTTAGCGAACGGTTGAGAGGAGGCGTTGTAACCGTTCAGGCGACGGTTCCAAGTACCATTTCTGAAGAGTATTTAAGGATTGAGATTTGCAACTGACAAAATATCTTTAATCATCTCCAAACGACGGCAAAGTCAGTGATTCGGAGATCATCATTTAAATTTTCAGTCTTTTATTTTCCAATTTATTTTATGTACCGTACAGTGTTTAGAGATTCCTAATCTCAGGCGCTAAATATATCAAATTCGAAGATAATTTCCTATTTTTCAGATTTTATTTTTTATTGTTGAAAAAATACATCAACAAATATAATTTCATCAACCCAATTATTTTCTATATATATTACTTTTCTTTAATATTCATATACTTTTATTTTTTAACAGTATAAAAATATTTATATATTGAATAATAATATAATTTAAATTAAATATACTTATATAATAAAATATTATAACATTAAAATATAAGTATAAAAAAAATAATAGTATACTAACTTTTAATCCTCAACAATTATTTATTTTTTATCAATATTGATATTAATATTAATATTATTTTTATGGAATAGTATATAATATTTTTAATTATAAATAATTATATTTATAAAATATACACTTCATTCTAATCACAACATCACACAACATCACATATTCTGGTTCTTCCCGTCTCTCTTCTTCTTTCTCATTCTTTTTTTCATTCCTTCTTTTTTTTACTTTTTTTTTTTCCTTCTTCGCCACTTTAGTTTGACGGCTTAGTGTCCGATTAATACATTTTTTTAAAAAAAAAAAAAGAAAAAGAAAAACAAATCACCACTAAAAAAACGTTTGGAAAAATCAACTAGCCAATTTCATTCAAGCCATGTTGACCGAATGGGTATGAGATCAGCCGAGCTAAGGCCCTGTTGACCGATTGGGTATGAAAATTAGTCGATTTAATCCTTGTCGATTCTTGTAACTCAGAGGTATAATTTTATTTTTGAAATCAGCCGAGCCGAGGCCCCATTGGCCGATTGGGTATGAAAATCGGCTGATCTAATCCCTATCGATTCTTATACCCCAGAGATATAATTTTATTTTTTAAATCAACCTAGCTGAGGCTCCGTTAACCGATTGGGTATGAAAATCTGTCAATCTAATCCCTGTCGATACTTGTACCTCATAGGTATAATTTTATTTTTGATTTTTTTAATGAGTAAATCTTCAAAATCCCCTTTTTTGAGAGAGAGAGAGATTCATATGGCTTTGCGATCCCATTTCCGGTCTTGTGGTACATAGTTTCTTCTCTTTCCATTTGTACTGAAAGTGCCCCCAACAAGGTTAATTGTCATTGAAAAAATGAATATTTTTTAGATTAAGAATGTGGGATTCTAAGTTGCCGCCTGTGTTCTTCGATTCAGACAACCCCCCAAAAAACATTGACTTTTGACCGATTCCATTATTTCAGAAATCTGGCCAGATTTCTTCCACCATAAACTGACCATTCTTTCCTTTCAACTTATTTTAATTTATGATCATACATTTCCAATAAAATTTGCAATTCAAATAATATCTTCTATTGTTAAGAATGAGAACCGAGGTTCCAACTTCAAACCAATTGGTTATAAGTGGAGTGATCCTTCATCCCTTATAAGGTAGGAAAATCTCAACGTTACATCAAATGTAGGATACTTAACACTCCCCCCGGAGATAAAAATCTCGAAAATCTATACAGAATCCAAACTCAATACGGACACCATGATTGTGATACCATGTTAAAAAAATGGGATCCGAGCTTTCAACTTAAAACCAATTGGTTGTAAGTAAAGTAGTCATTCACCCCTTAAAAGGTAGGGGAATCCCAACATTACATCCAACGTGGGATAATAAACATCTATATCAAAACACTCAACATAATATTAACAACTCATTCTTTCCAAATATACGACAAATAAACTTATCTAATATTAATGTCCATTAACCAACCCTAAATTTAGAAAATATTAACCGATTCTAACTAAAATCTCCCAAAATTCCCCCATACAAATGCAGCTATAATTTCTAAATTTTCCAATGCAGCAACTGTTTTACCCAGCAAATATAAAACACAATAATATTAACATCACCATTTACCAAGTTCTTTTATGCAATTCCTTCTACCATTACACTAATATATATATATATATATATATATTTACCAAGTTCTTTTATGCAATTCCTTCTACCATTACACTAATATATATATATATATGTGTGTGTGTGTGTACATATTAAAAAACATTATCAAAATCACATAAATGCCCCTTATAAAGATGGTAAATATAGCACACCACACTAAACCTTTCAGCAATGCAGTGTGTATTAATTATCATCAAATCAAAATATAGCCATACCTCCAAACTTAGCAAGCAATCCTATAGTATTTATATGGGAGCCGAGATGAGGAAGTGCATAGGCACAATAATTAGCCATACATCTTAACAGGGCTTAGCCGGAGTTCGCCGATATCTACTGAATTCAGAGAGAAAGCTTACCCAGTCATGAGCTACACAACATCTACAATGCCATGGCTAGAGCTTCTGCACGAGTGCATAATGAAATGTCAGAAACAGACAAGATTATGTACCTTGAATCTTGTTCGCGCCATGCAAGAAATACACTCTTTCTGTTCGAAACCAAATTTAAAATTAGATTTAACATTTGATGTGTAAAAAGGTCTACCTTATCATCATTAGCATCAGGAGAGCTCAAATCCAGCATTTGAATTGATTGCATAGAGGAGTTTCTCTCTCAGCGTGCTCACACGTTTATATGTTGGAAGCTGTAATCAGTACTGTTAGGCTTATGCACAATATTTGAGGAGAAAAGGAAAACAATAAGAATGATCCGCGGGCTTCCCTAACAGTACCTTCAAAGTATTGTAGCATGTCGAAGCTGATGGAAGCCGGTCTACATCTTGTCCGCCAAATGAAGCCCAAAGAGGAACATCACAGACCACCTAAGTCATGGCAAATTCCTTAGTCAGATTGCACTAATCCATAATCATCATTTGGTGTGAATAAATGGAACAAATGAAATGAAGTGTGTAAATACCTTATGGATGGTAAAAGGTGGGTGAAGATGCTTGAATCCAAGCAAAGGTGCTCGAGAGCAACTGGTTACAAACTTAATAAGCATGCATCGCTCTTTTGGCCGAAACCCCAAAAAAACCTACAGTCAAACATGTCAAGAGAGAATCAAATAATTTTTTATTTTCAACAGTTGGTATCATGAATACAAGAGAGCACATACCTCCCAGAATAGCTTAACAGTTCGACTCCCTTCACTGTAGCCCCCAGTATAATGTGTGTTTTTCCTCAAATCATCAACATCAATGTCATAATCTCCACCCGAAAGCAGCTATAAAAAAGTGCAGATCAGCATGAAAGTAATTAAATGCTAATTAGAACATTTTGCATTATAGAAGGTTGAGTGGTCATTTATTTAATAAATACAAACTAGATTATTAATTTTCTATCAAGAAGTAAACAGGTGTATTTTGTAATAAGGAACCATGCATATTGACGTAGCCGTCAAAATGCCACACCAACCGCTTGGATCAATTACCGAAGCCGAGCTCGTAAACTCCAACATCATTTTTTTTGGCTTAATCTGAGAGCTCGAGATGAAGAATATAAACAAAGATGAAGCATGAAGACCCATTGGCCCGAGCCTAACGGTTATCCAAGCTCAAAATAATTGAAGATATGTAATGATGTAATTGCTTACATCATAAATATTGACATCATTACTTATATCACTTTTGGGGAATATACTATCATTAATTACAATCTTGAAAATATACTCTTTTGGAAATGTGTTGCCATTATTGTGATATTAGTAATATGTAGCAATTATGTGTAAGTGAGTGATTCCTTTCGCATTGATTTCAAATCAGGTCTTTGAAATTAACCATCGGTTCGTGATTTCTAAATTCTTGCAGAGGATTCCTCATCCATAGTTTGAATTTTGAATCCAAGATTAAGTTTTTTAAGTTCTTAATCAAATAGGTTGGGTATCAAATTTTCTGCCCAATCTCTTCTATTTATTTTGTCTTCCTCACTTCCTTACATCAATTAAGGTTGTTCGTCTTTTCACCTGAAAAAAAAAAAATATTGATCCACTTGGGTTACATCATTTTGGCTTATTGGTTAGTAGGAATGAGATGAGACTAACTGAAAAAGAATGTACATTATTTATTAGCATTCACTAAGCCTTTATATATATATATATATATATATCTTAACAAGATACTAATGTTCTTCCCTCTAGTATTGCTACCTTATTGCAGGATTATGAAATGTGTTTTCCCAAAGAAGTTCCTTGTGGGTTGCCTCCAATTCGAGAAATCGAACATCAAAATGACTTTATTTTGGAATATTCTATTCTTAATCGACCAGTATATAGAGCAATTCCGGATGAGGTTAAGGAAATCAGGAAGCAAGTCGATGGTTTGTTAAGCAAAAGATGGATTCATAAAAGCCTTAGCCCTAGTGCGGTGCACGTATTTTTGGTGTCAAAGAAAGATGGATTGGAGAATGTGCGTTGACTGCCGGGTTGTCAATGCAATTACGGTAAAGTATTGCCATATAATTCTTTGATTGGATGATATGCTAGATAATTTGAGTGTTCAACTATCTTTCCAAAATTGATTTAAAGAGTGGGTATCACCAAATTCATATGAATCAAAATGATAATGAAAAACAACCTTCAAAACCACTTTTGGTTTATATGAATGGCTTGTTATCTCATTTGGACTCACATATGCCCTAAGCCATTTATGAGGTTGATGATCTATATTTTGAAAAATCTCATAACAATTTTGTTGTTGTGTATTAATGATATACTCATTTATAGTCAATCTATTGATGCACACATAAAACATGTTAATGTTATACTTGATGTTCTTTGAAATAAAAAGTTGTTCGCTAACTGAAGGAAGTGTGACTTTTCTAAGTGCGCAATTTTTTTGGTTTTATTATAGAAAAAGATGGGATTAGTGTGGATGAAAGTAAATTGAAGGAAATTCAAGAATGGCCTACACGTCGAGCATGAAGGATGTCTAAACTTCCGTGGCCTTACGAGCTTCTACAGTGTCGATTTGTCTGAAATTTCAGCACAATTTCCGCCTCACTAACTACCGTCACGAAAAAGGATAATAAGTTTGAATGGGAAAGTATTCAACAAAATGCTTTTGATACATTGAAACAAAAACTCACCCAAGCACCTATCATTGCTTTAAGTAATTTTTTAAAAGCTTTTGAGATTGATTGTGATGCTTCTTGTGTAGATATTGGAGCTGTTCTAACTCAACATAAAAGACCCGTAGCCTACTTTAGTGAAAAGTTACATGGTGCAGCTCTTAACTACTTCACATACGACAAGGAATTCTATTCCTTGTGTAAGGAACACTTTCCCAAGATGAAAAAAAAAATATGGGAACTCCCTTTGGCTGGTGAAGGGCCTCTCCGCTTAATACCAATTTATTTTAAGTTGGATGGTATCAGAGCTTGTCTGAGTTTTCGAAATTATCATCTCAAGGGAAAGTGTTGAATATGTCCTACATTGGAAAAAATGTGGGAACTCCCTTTGGCTTATAAGGGTGAAGGGCCTCTCTACTTTATACCAATTAGTTTTAGGTTGGAAGCCCGAATTCCTTCTTAACATGGTATCAGAGTCATGGTACCCATATTGGGTATTGATCTTGTTTAGATTTTCGAAATCATCCTCTCGAGGGAGAGTGTTGAATATATCCCCTATAGGAAAAAATGTGGAAACTCCCTTTGACTTATAATGGAGAAAGGCCTCTTCCCTTAATACCAATTGGTTTTAAGTTGGAAGTCCGGATTCCTTCTTAACAAATCTCATGCGGTGATAGTCTCTTCCGTGTTTTGGAGAAAATGAATGACAATGCTTACTGCATCGAACTTCTGGGTGAGTACCAAGTCCATGGTATCTTTAATGTTGTTGATTTAACTTTGTATGATGTAAGAGACGATAATGTTGTTTAGGAGAACAAAAAATCTCTTCAAGAAGGGGGAATGATGCGGACGTCAAAATGCTACCCCAACCACTTAAACCACTCGAAGTCAAGCACGTAAACTCATCGGCCTGAGTCTGACGGTTATCCAAGCTCAAAATAATTGAAGACATGTGATGACGTAATTGCTTACATGATAAGTATTGATATCATTGCTTACATCACTTCTTGGGGATGTACTACCATTAATTACAATATTGAAAATATATTCTTTTGAGAATATGTTGCCATAACATACTTTTGGGAACATGTAACAATGATGTGTATTGAAATATGTTTTCTATGGAAATGTATTGTCAATTTAATTATAGTAATTGTTTTGTCCCGCCTCCCTTTGGCCTATATATAGGCTTTGTATCTATTTTCATATTAACTTTTGTCCTAATATATTTTTCTACCATTGCAAACTTGTGTTTCATTGTATTTACTTTCAAAATGTAAGTAATCCCTTGCCATTGATTTCAAATCGGATATTTGGAATTAACCATTGATCCATGGCTTCTAAATTCTTTTAAAATAATTCAAACTACCACCTTAAATATATTATAAATTACATTTGACTCGTTAATCACTCATTTAAAATTTAAATTATTCACTAATGACAATTAACTAACAAATTCAAATTCAAATTATTCATTTTAATAATATTTAACAACCAATTCAATTAGCATTTTATTCAAATTCAATTTAATTTTCCATCAAATGCCTCCCATAAATTGAATTTGCTCTTAATTCCCAAAGCAACAACATTTCTTGAGAAAGTGGGCCCACCAAGCAGTTTCATGAAGATGTCAGCATCAGCCAACTGGTCTTCACTCGGGCAATGTAATGTCAATCTTACGTAGAGGAATTAAGCCTATCAATTTGTTCCTCATCCTAGTTAGGATTTTGGGTCCAAAGATTAAGTTTTTGAGGTTGGGTATCAAATTTTTTGCTCAATCTCCTCTATTTTATTGTCTTTCTCGACCCCCTTATATCGATTAAGGTTGTTCGTCTTTTTACCTGGGAAAAATATACTAACCCACTTGGGTTATGTCACATATACAGAAAGGGACTATATAGCAGTGCAAATATGTTGCTCTGTCAAGCCTTTTGAGTTACTTCAATCAATAAGTTCTCTACACAGATTCTAGAACACTAACAGAAAAGAGCAGACCTAAAAGCCCCCATGAACAAAAGCTAATACATAGAGATAAGCAAAGAAAATTACCTGATTGAATTCACTTGCATTAAACAACTTTATCCAAGAAGGGGATATTAAATCTGTCAGACCTCGGTAAAATGCATTGGAGAAAGCAAGTATCTGCAATTCAGTTCCATAAACAACGTACTAAAAGCCATTAAAAACATGCAAACTTTAGATAAGTTGCACATATATGTATAAGATATATATATATATATTCAAAGTCCAGGAAAACCTGTCGGTTAAGTTTGTAATCAGCCATGGCATGAACATATTGCAGTTTGTTTTCATTTGTCACAGGAATATTCCTGCCACCTGGTTTAAGTTCAATGACAAGTCGTTTTCCAAGGGACTCTTCAGTAATAGTGAAATCCAAACAAAGATCACTAGCATCACCATCATAATGCTGCATGTTCAATTCATATCAATTATCAGAATCTTTCAAAAATGCACATGAAACCTCATTCATAACAGAAAAAAAGGTAAGCAAGAAATCCAAACTACAAGCATATGCCACATCTCCACACTAGGTCATGTTCAAAATCTGATCCTGTTACATAATATCACTTGTTTGGCATTTGCAATCACCATGCTAGGTCCAGTTCAAGATTCGATCCTATTACATAATATCTTTGTCTCACTTGTTTTACATTTCCAATCAACCTTAAATGGCATATTAGTCTCAGAATAACTATTTTTGAGAGTTGAGACATGCATTGCTTCAAGTCAAGATCCTAAATTTTGCTGCTACTACCATCACTTAATCAGTTAGCTCTCATCTCTTCCCTCAAATCCTAAGCAACAGGATGTATTACTTTTTCAATAGACTACTGGACAAATGTCCCAGATCCAGTAAACTAAACACTAAGTATTTTCCATAACCTAAGACATGTCTTCAGTTTAATTTCTTACCATGGTCCATAAAACTTGAATACTATGAAGCAAGGCTGTCAAATGATAGCTTGAAGATTAACACTGAAGAGGGAGCAGATTTGTAAAGACTAAGGATAAACTAAAAACTAATTTATTATATAAAGTCAACTAGAATAAAACGAACTCGTCAAAAAATTTTTAATCAAATTATTAAAACTGCAAATTATTTAATTATAATAAAAGTAGTCATTTTCTGTAGGTCGTTTGCATAGGGTTCTGATGTGCTGCTTCACTGCCATCCACTAAAGTAAATGTTGTTTTTTTATTCGTGATACAGTGGTAGTGTGCTAAACAGTAGACTCGTGAGTCGTGAATATAAAACAAGTTTAGATGAGATATCAGCAACAATACTATGAAGAATATAATCATTTTTTAATTCATTCACGTTTACATATCCTTTTGCAAGGACTTGTTCAAACTCATGGTTTTATACAAGGGCACAAGCCAGAGGGAAAATGCTTATAAACCATTTCCTGAATATAACTCCCTAAGGAACAAAGAGGTCTAAACAGTAGCAGGAATAGATGCCAAAGCAAAAAGCAATTAAGACAGTATACATAATTACAGAAAGTTAAATACTCTTCTGAAATATTAATAAGTTCAACAATATGATCACCTTAACATACATGAGGTTCCTGTAAAATTCAGGATCCAGAGTGGAGAGTTCATCCAAAAAGCTATAGCGCCCCAACAATTTTTGCACAAAAACATGTGAAAAATGGAAGTCAAGTAGTATTCCTTCATAGAGAGCTTTACCGACAATTCTTCCTAGAAACTCAATCATTTGTATCCCATTATCCAAAGATCTTGCAGTCGTATTGGGTACCAGACACCTATCAGAAGTTGTCGTCTGGGAGAATAGGCCATACCTGAACAACATGCACTCATGCAGTCATTTCAGATAATAAAGGCAAATCAGAATTACTTCATGCAGCAAGAGAACTTACTCTGGTGAGAATGCTATTTTTGCAATATCAGTCAGGAACTCCTTTGACAATCCACCATAGTCAAGTCCAGCCTCGGGAAGACCAGATTCACTAACAAATGAAACATGTATGGCAGATTTCAGCTTTGAACCAAGGGAATTTAGTTGTTGTAATCCATCTTCAAAAATATGACCCCGGCGGATAACAACCTCAAGTGCCCGTCCAGGTCCAGCACCTTCACCAGCTAATCTTCTCGATACCTTGTCCATGCTGATAAATTCTCTGAACATCATTACTCTGCCATATTCAGAAAGTAATGCTGTGAATCACTTTTTATGCCCAGAAAACAAGTGGAAAAAATTGAAATATAATATTTACATAGATATGACACGTGATGCCCAAGCAGGAGGTTGCTTGAGAACTGAACTATTCAACATGGAGTCCAAATGCGCCAAAAGACACCCATCAGTCAAATTGCTCATTCGAATGACTTTTAAAAAAAACCCAGAAGTTACAAGAACAATTTAAAGAAACTATACTTTTTCTAAAAAATTGTTAATGAGAGGATAAAACATAGCAATACTTTCTATTGTTGTAATTGACCATAAATCTCCCTCCGTCCCAGTCCAATGCATCCATTTGTTATTTTGTAGTAGATTAAGAAATAATACTCCCTCCATTCCATATTTATATATCTATTTGCTTTTTGCACGGAATTTTAAAAATATTAGTATTATATTTGAATAAAATAGAAATAAAGGTAAAAAGACTAAAATAACCCTATTAGTATTGTATGATATAAATGTAATGGAATTTGTGTAATATATTGTAAATTGGAATGGTATTTGTAATGTTAGGTAGATAGTACAATTACTAAAAAAAGGAAATGGATATTTTGTTATGGGACGGACCAAAATGCAAAAATGGATAGATTATTAAGGGACGGAGAGAGTAGTATTTTACTGGTTAGCGGAATTGTGCTAAGATTATTTTGACATTTTTGCCTTTTGTGAACTGATATTGTTTTGTTCTTATTCAGGTGGACACTAGATTAGGAATGTCTAGGGTCTCTATGTAACAGTCACTCCCCCTCAAGTTGGTGCATAGATGTTAGTCATGCCCAACTTGCTAGATCGCCGTGCAAAAAAAAAAAACATTCTTGACATCTAGCCGACAAAGCGGCCAGCCATGTAGCTCCTGATATGTCCTTTTGAAATCCATAAAATAACTCACATGAGATTTGTTTGTCATTTCAGCCCAATAAAAGCCTTGCACACATTGTATATTCAGGTAACATTTCTTTTACCCGAGTATAAGAACTCCAAATATTGAATCAAGTCTTTGACAGTATTGCAGTAGACCTCCACATCAATCGAATTTACGATCTATAGGAATAACCTTACATCATCCCGAAGCCATGCCCTCCTCTCCTTTTCACCGGTAAATGGGTCCTCCTCCAAATGATCAACCTTATCAATACTTAGCAAGTATAATTTCACGGTTATGCTCCACTCTAGATAATTCGATCCAATTAAGTTTGTACACAGTAATTTTGGACGTAATTGAAGCAACTTCAGAGACAAAAATAGGCTTGCCTCACTCATGATCAATTAATGGCAAAACAATTTGGAATTCCAGGAACAAGATGAAGCTCGACAGCAACAATCTGGAATTATTGTTAATCTAGAACAGAACGTTGGAACACTATTTTTACAGTCTTGGAATTATTGCAAAATCTGAGCACTCTGGAACCCATATTTGTTCACTAAGCAGATTCCTAAACCTTAAACCCAGCACCAACCGAACACAGCAACCCACATAATTGTCATCTGGCAGATTCCACCCCCAATTGCACACGCCGGCGCGTTTGACGAACGCGCTCGCTAGAATGCCGCCACCAAAGTCACCTGACACCGCCGGACCCTTACTCGCCGAAGGTGAGATGAAACGCGGCCAAAGTGCTCTGCCTAAATTGATTTCTGATTATGCGTATAGCCCTAAGAGCTCTGATACCATGTGAACTGATATGTTTTGTTCTTATTCATGTAGACATATTACACACATATATACAGTAGATTAGGAATGTCTAGGTTCTTTATCTAACACTCTCTACAAGTCTCTATGAAGAGCATAATTATGCTATGCATTCCCATAAACCTACTATCATAGCTATGCTACACATTCTAATATTGTTAACACCCTTAAAAGTAAAAATGAAATGAATATTTTTGTAAAAGTTATAGATATTTTGATATTTAGATATGATTATTTTTAATATAATTAAAAATTAATAATTTTGAGTGGAACGGATGAAAAAAAAATGATACATTGTGTTGGGAGAGGGAGTAGAAGATGGGTACCATCCTTAAAAAATTTCTTATTAATCTTATATATTGAAAATAATATATTTACAACAATATTTCAAATATATTGATAAGTATAGGCTGGTTCATTTTGTATGTTCGTTTTGATTTTTGGCTTAAATAGTGATTAATGTGATATTTTATAAGAGAATAATTATTTTATTAGAAATTTGTGAGGGTTGCATAGTAAAAAAAACTGAAAAAGAAATAAAGAACAAAAGAAAGCAGAGACATGTATATTCTTTTGAAGTTTGGTTTTGAGTTTTGGTTTGAATAATAGTTTGGATATGATGTTTTGCGAGAGAAATAGTGTGTTCTTATAGGGAATCCCATAACAAACTCAAGCAATTATTTTCACCTCAAAACAACAAAACAAAAACAAAATTACAATGAACAATCCAATATTTTATATCAATATATTATGCTTTAATATATTTTCATTTTTATATTCATGTATAAAATAAATTGTATGAATTGCATTATTTCATGATTAATTATTTGTAAACTTAATTAACTATATCGCATGAATATAATAATTAATGAAAAAAAAAAAAAAAAAGAGCCCACACAAGACAATCCAAAGTAAGCTTCATGTTTGGGTTGTAATAGTTATGCTTGCAAATTTGTAATCCCAAGGTAAGAAAATGCATCATGAATTTCCAAAACCAGAACAATCTGATACTACATTTCACACATTTATAAGTTAGCCACTCTAGTTCTTTACTCTAGACTTGTGAGCACAATAACATTTCTAATATTTCCTGTCAAATGACATGGATGGATACAAGGGTATGTTTGGTACAGGAAATTGAGACCAATGAAAAAGAAATGTTTCCATTTCTCTTATTTGTTTGATCTAGAGAAAAGAAACTTGAGAAATAAATAATTTTTATTTTTTTATTTTCATTTTTCTCCTTATATCAAGAGAAATAGAAAGAAATGAATATTTCATTTTTAAATTTTTTTGTACTATTTAATTTTATAATTTTTTAAAATTTTTTTTATTTCAATTTTACAAAACATCACATTTAATTTATTATTTAAGTATTAATTTTTAAAATTTTTTAAAAATTTATACTAAAATCTTAGTTTACAAAACATGTATCTAATTTATTATTTAAACAAAAAATATCACTAAAAATATTTCTTCAATTCTCACTCTTACTAATCATTTATCTTTTTATCGATCCATCCGGATAGCTGCACTTATTTACATTTCTCACCTGAAATTCTTTATTTTACCAAACAAAAGAATTCATTCTTACTCTCTACTTAATTCTTTTTCTATACCAGACGCCGCCTAAAGGGCTTATTCTCTTAGTTTTTCTAGGTGATCTGATTCTCCATAAATATTATTTAAAAAATACAATACACACACATTAACACAATATATATAATATATATATACTTATTTACTCACAAAAAGTCAACAATTCATCATAAAATATTATTCCCTCCTTCCCAATCCAAATGGGCATTTTGGGTTTTATAGTAAATCAAGAAATAATAGTATTTATTGGTTAGTAGAAGCGGATAAGAGGTTGACATTTTTGTCCTTTGACTTTATGTATAAAATAAATATGTGTAATGGTCTGTTTGTAAATTAAGGGTGTGTTTGTTTGGGGGATTGGATTTTAAATCCACTGTTCATCAAATTTTTTTCCTCCAAAAACATCAAATCAAACACCTATTTTTCATTTTTTATATTATACTAAAAATCAATTTTACATTCAAAACATCACATCAACACCTATTTATATCACATCATGCAACTATTTAAATTCAAAATTTTTACTATTCAAATCCCAACTCAAAATCCAAACCCCCAAACAAACACACCATAATTAAAAGTTAAAGTATTTTGGTATTAGTTTATGATTATTTTTTTTTTAAAATAAGAAATTGGTACTTTTGAGTGGACAAACAAAATAGTAAAAAAGATACTTTGAGTTGGGACAGAAGGAGTATTTTTTATATTACCAATACAATTCCCCATACCAAACCTAAAAAACACATACAAAAACACAAAGTGAACAAACCCAAAGTTTCTAGCAGCAACAAGACAATTAGCACCTCCTTTATACTGTGATCAATCATCAACGTCTATGTGGAGCCAATTTCAGGGATCAGATTGTTCAATCAAGTCATGTATTTTAACTAACATTTAAATGAACTATCTCTTCTTATACTCATGTTCAGTTCTGTCTAGGTCTTGGCCTTCCACCTCCCTTTACTTAGCCCTCCTAAGATAAACAAATTGAGTATGTTTTCTAATTTCCAGAATAGGAAATCTAGAGATCTCCTATGTAACATTCTAAGAGAAATTTTTGAGATGTTTATTGATAATGAAATTAAGGTTTATTTATAGGCATTACACTAAAAGATAAAGTCAAATAACTAACAACCTAATCTAGTAGATATATCTAGATAATAACAACCTAATCTAATGGACATTATAAAATAATAACTAACAAATCTAAATAATATCAAACTTAGGTCCCTTGCACAATGTCCATCAACAACTATTTCTATCACATACAATCTCAAGGAGTTGTGCATACCTCTCGTCAAAGGGGAATACATGTGGCATGGTAGTGATTACAGAACCCATGCTTGAGGAGAGTGCTCCATCAGCAGCTGAAAAAACTTCATGAGTCCTGGCAGCAACAGCAATTGGCATTCTGTTACTTCTCCCAGGGGCAAGCCACAAAGATGGATTGCAGAATGGGCGCCTACAATCCCTTTCGTATAAAAGATGCATGCACCGAATCGCAGAATCCACAAGTACTCTATTTGGAGAAGTGATACCACGGGATAAAGAATTATACACAAGGTTGTTGATCATTGATGCAATTTTTTGTTGCTGCTCCAATGTGAATGGAACCTAAGAACTTACAAGTATGAAGTTAGTGAATCTATCTCCATGTAAAAAAACAAGTTTCACACACCATAGCGGAAGGGGATTTGAATGAGCTAAAAGTATAAACACAACCTGCTTATCATAGAACTCCATGTCATCAAGAACCAACAACAGATGAGAATAGCTTGAACAGAAGAGTAGAAGCAGACAAGATATATCTTCGGGTATGGCTTCAGGACCCTGCCTTAAGGATACAATGTCCCACCAATCAGAATGAAGTTCCTCCATTTGGCTAAAGCTAGACTGCCCATTTCCTGAATACGCATAATCATTCTCTGTTTGAGATTTTCCAGTAATTTTCTGCAGTACATTGGTCCATTTATTACCAGTGTCTTTGTTGACCCTCTTCTGCCTCCTATCATAATCTCCACTGCTTCTACCTTGAGATGTAGTGATTGAGTACAGTGAATTTGATTCCATACTTCGATTTTTGCCTTGAAAGAGATAATTTTCTAGTTCTTCCCACAAACTAAAGAGAAACCCAGGGGTGAAAGACAGCATGTTGAGGACTGGCAAAGATTTTATCACAGGATTCAAAGTTGAAAATAGTCGAAGCATGCACGAATAATAATGAGCAATGTCAAGCAGCCCATACTTCCCTTGAGGCTTTAGACAACCTGAAGGAAAATCCCCAGCTACGCATACAGAAGCATCTTTTGCAAAGGCTAGGAGTTTCTTTAAATGCCACTGTTGATAAGCAGGCTTTAACATGTCCATATAAGTCAACTTTGGGAAGACACTTGTATCATCAAAAACCAAACCAGATTCAGAAGAAGAATCATTACCACCTTGAATGTCTTCATCTTTCCTTCTTATTTGTTGCAAGCCACCAAGTGAAGTCAATAGTTTTTCTGTAAGTAAAATAACTACTTGGAGATAAGATGCAAAGTCTAAACCCTCACTGAATTTTCCTGAATCGAGTGATGCAAGGTACACAATGTTAGCTAGAGCCCAACCCACCTGTGGCATCTTTCGGGAGGTTACCTCCAACTGATCCATCTCAGACATTTCCTCCAAAATCTTCTCTCTTAAGACCTGTCATCACCTGCCATGCTTTGATCAGTCCCCTTGGAGCTTTATGCTAGGACAGCCATAAGTGACAATGTGACATGAACTAAAGCATCATACTTCTTCATAAAAATTTTCACCAAGATTTTCAAGAATAACTAATGGGAAAAAAATAAATAAATCCAGAACCTTAGATAGAGCAACTATACTACCTACGTAATTATATCCTTAGCAACTGTTAATGAAACAGTACGTCTTTATTGGCCAAACTTACCAGTAACATCCTGAGGCACAGTGATAAAACTGACTTGTGTCTCAAAGCAGGCACAAGTATTGCAGGCAAACGTTGAGGAAACCACGGTATTGTGAGTAGAAAGATACAAAAAAGCTCAACAGCGCGCTCCATCATCCATTCATCATTTGCGTCCATCATTGATAGGTGGAATGGTCGCAGAGATAAAGTTACAGCACTAGCAATTATCAAGAATCTATCATCTGTCTGACAAGATAAAACCCCTTGAGAAGAAAAAGGAGCTTCTAGTTTCAACATAAATTTCCTGATGCCATCATATAATCCCCATTTTTCCCTCCCAATAAAGTGCACTAGAGTTTTCACAGTAGTATTTGCATCCTTCCGGTCATTATCACTAATGCAATTCCAACCATTTGGATCAGTTAGGAGAACTGACAATCGCATTGCTGTGGATGTGAGCACAACATCTTCAACATTTTGATTAGAATAGTCAAACACAGATAAAACAAACAAGCATATGGAAAGGAGTTTCTTTGATTGTTGAAGCCATATTTCCTTCTCTGCAATACTACCAATCGCCATCAAGCAAAAATTTTGATGTGCGTCTGCAATTCATGGAATCTTACATTAGAATGAGTCATCATTTTCAACTGTATTCAGGTCGGCCTAAACAGACAAAATGTTCCTTACGTTTAGCTAGCATGGATCAAAATATTGAGTTCAGTTATTTCAAACCATTATATCACCTGCATTCAATCCCTATCTACATTTTCATATCAAGCCTATCAGAAGAAACCATCCCTATTCCACCATAACAACGTGTAATGACTTCCCTATATTTAGCCATGTATAAATCTAAACACTAAACCCATGAAATCAGCCTCTACCTTAAAATACAAATAGGATTCTCCACAAAGAAATTAGCATCTCATAGCTGGAATATTCAATTTGATAACCATCCCTTACTGCAAGAGGTACAAGACAGCATTTCATAAATACAGCTAGCAAAATAATTAATGAGAGAACTCAATTCCCTTAAAAATTGTGAACCGAGATAAACAAAAATACCAGAATGTTCAGTTATATCCAAATAAATGTAGATTCAATCGCAGATAAACACACAAGTCAACAACTGACGCACACCCAATTTACTTTGGCACAACAGACTCACGTTTCTCTATCCATCCCTCACTCTATCTTCTCCTTGCCATTTTAGTGATGAAAAACATACAGAGATAAGTGAATTCTCACATCTTTTCATTTTGATGTGTAACCTACTCCTGATTAATTCCAAAGTGCAAACTCAGTTACACAGCACAATAAGCAATGGCTCATCAAATGCCAACACCTCCATCATTAAAGGTTAAGTGATGTGTTGGTTCGGATACCCATTATCAGATCTCATGAAGAACCTTAATACAAAATTACGCGCGTCGTAGTGCAAGGCTTACCCTTTGAAGTCATGTCCTCCAGAACAATTCTGAAGCAACTTATCATACACTCCTTGTCCCTGGCCCTAATTTTCCCACAACGAACCGGCAAGCACCCGATAAAGAAGAGAAATGGACGCAAAACATTGCCAGATATCTCCATTCCCGTTAGACCGCTGGGACGATTGTTCATCATTACTTCCCACACCTCCCGCATCTGAAGCGCCACCGCCTTCGTCACGTGATGCCGCCTCCATACCCTCTGAATGAACTCCAAAAAGAATAGAATGTTACAGTCGACCACTGATACCAAACTAGGTTTTCACAGAATCAATTGCTAACCTGGATGAACAATCCGGCAGCGTTAGCCCGCCTGGTATAAATCCGTAGCTCCCTCTCCTGATTAACCCTCTCTAGAAGGGCGTCTCTCGTGATTTCCTTGGCACTAGCTCCTCGCAGCGACACCTGATCCATTAATCCAAAGTCCGATTTCATTATGAACCTGAATCGTTAATCAAACATCAAAGGGGTAGGGAATTCTAGGAAGTGATTCGAGAAGTAAACCTGGTGCCGCCGAGATTCGTTCATGGTTCTCCGCGATCGGAGACGATCGATCCGTACAAGGAATTCACGACAACCTCCTCGTCAATATTTATCTTTAGTGTCGAATAACAAGTATTTTAGGGTATGTTCCTTTTAGGATAGGTTTGGAGAAATTAATTTTGAGTTTCAATTGAAGTTTAGAATAAGTCTCAGATTTATATGTTGATTTAGGTTTATAGACAGTGAGAAATATGGCTTTGCATCATCTTAATAATGACAAAAGTAAGAACTACAAATTTAGACGACGAAAGCGAAATAAATTTTTACTATCAAAAGACTCTCAAAAGCAAGTAAGTTACAATTATATATGAAAATATTACTTGTCTAATTTTGATGTGCTCAAAATTTAACCCAAAGCCATCAATTTATTAAGATGGGCTTATGACTAATTTGTCATCACAAGCAAACGTGGTCCAACGTTGACAAAATAGTGAGTTTGCTCCGCCTTCTTAACAAAAACTGTATTAAGCTAAATCAAAATACTGAATCCAATTCAACTAAAGCACTGTTTGAACTTGAAGACTGGAAGAGATTTTGTAAACATATCAATGGATTCTCCTTTGTATAAATTTTTTTACGGAGACCTTCTCTTCAACAATGATATCTCAGATGAACTGATACTTCACATCGATGTGCTTCGTTCTGTATGTCTTTGGTCTTTAGTCAAATGTATCGCACTTAGACTATCATAATGAATAACAATAGTACTCTAATGTAGACTGAACGCGCCCAAAAGACCTTTCAACCATAAAGTTTCTTTAATTGTCTCTCCATTGTCATATATTTTGTCTTTGTAGTAGACAATGTCACAATTAGTAGTAAGGATGTTTTCCAACTAATTGCACAACCGCCAATGCAAAATACATAGTTTGAGAGAGATATTTTTTTATCGAGATCGTCAACATAATCAATATCTACATATCCAATCAGAGACTTACTTTTTCTTCCAAACTCCAAACAGACATTCAAAGTGTCTTGTAAGTATCTCAGAATCAACTTCACAGTATGCCAATGTGCTTTTTAGGACAAGACATATATTTTCTAACAACACTGACTGTCTGCGAAATATATGGACGGGTGCATATCATTGCGTACATAAGACTGCCAACTGCATTTGAATAAGAAACCCGCGCAATTTCTTTTTCCTCTTCAACTGATTGTGGTGACTGACCAGCTGATAATCGAAAGTGATTAGCAAAAGGGACAATCACTGGTTTGACATTATTCATGCCAAAAAGCTGCAAGACCTTCTTAACTTAGCTTTTTTGAGTTAAGACCAGTCTTCTCTATCCATGATCACGTTGGATATCCATGCTAGGAATTTTCTTTGATGCTCTCAAATCCTTTTTTTCAAATTCACTACTAAACTACAACTTCAGAGAGTGAATTTCGGACATATTCTTGGCAACAATAAGCATATCATCAACATACAACAATAGATATATGCGAGTACCATCAACTAACTTTCAAAAATAAATGCAACTACCATAAGTACTCCTAAAATATCTATTACTCAACATAAAAGAGCCAAACCTCTTATACCACTGCCTCGAAGACTTCTTCAATCCATATAAGGATTTTTTTAATAAACAGACATGGTCTTCATTTCCTCTAATTTTAAAACCCTGAGGTTGCTTTATGTAGATATCTTCTTCAAATTCTCTATGCAGAAAGGCTATCTTAACACCCATCTTTTCTAACTTAAAATCCTCAATGGCAACCAAAGCAAACAAAACACGAATAGAACTATGTTTGACATCAGGTGAGAAAACATCATTAAAATCAACACCTTGTACCTGACTATAGCGCTTTGCAACCAACCGTGCTTTATATCTTACTTCATCACTCCCTAGCATATCTTCATTTTTCTTGAAGGCCCATTTTTTTCCAATAATTCTCTTATGTAGCAGTGGTTTCATAAGAACTAAAGTATTATTCTTATGAAGAGACTCAATTTCTTCATTCATCGCCTTTATCCACTTAACAGAATCATCCCACTAAATTGCGCCTGAATATGTGAATGGCTCACTGTCTCCACATATTTCTTGTGCAACAGAAAATACATATGTGACAAACTTTGTATACCGTTGTAGAGGTTAAGTGTCTCTGTGTTGTCTTCCTGTGGATACGGAATATGGCTCTTTTTCTGAACTTTTGATATCTACTGATGTCTGCTGAATAGAAGAGTTTGGCTAAGGGTGCTAGAATTACCAATGTTGAACTCCACCTACTTCTGTGTATTCTCTCATGAACTCAAAGACTCCTTGTTAAACAACATGGCTATTTAATCAAAGGTAACATATCTAATGATTGCAAACTTTGGAGATTTAGGATCAGGACACCATAATTTATATCATTTCACTCTAGAAGCATAACCAAGGAAAATACATTTCTTAGCCCTAGGCTCCAATTTTCCTTAATTTACATACATATATGTTGAACACCCAATAATCTTTAAATTAGAATAATCAGCAGGAGTACCTGACCAAACTTCTTCAGGAGTTTTGAATTTGAGAGCGGAATTTGAAGAGCGATTGACAATGTAAGCAGTCATGTTGATTGCTTTAACCCAAAAATCCTTAGTCAATCCTGCATTGGAGGTCATACATCTTGCCATTTCCAAGAGTATTATGTTCATATGTTCAACCATGCCATTCTGTCGAGGTATCACCTGATTGTGCGATGCCAAAGAATTCTTTCTTTCTTACAAAATTCAATAAGCTCTCATCCGAAAAATTTCAAGCCGTTATCAGTTCTCAGCCGCTTGATTTGTTTTCCTGTTTGTTTTTCAATCAAAACTTTCTACTATTTGAAAGTTAGGAAAACATCATTCTTATTTTTAAAAAAATATACACAAACCTTTCTTGAGTAGTTATTAATAAAAGTCAGCATATACCTGGCATCACCTTTAGATGAAATACAAGATGGACCCCAAATATCAAAGTGGATATAGTCAAGTGTATCTTTCGCCTTGTGAACTGTTGGTGACTTAAAACTCACTATTTTCTACTTCCCAAATACACAATTCTCATAGAAATCCAACGATCCAGTACTTTTTCCACAAAGAAGTCCTCTCTTGCTTAAGATTCTCATGTCCTTTTCACTCATATCCCCAAGACGTATATGCCATAACTTGGTGATATCAAGTTCAGCAAAAGAGGATAATGAAACAACTGCATGCCCAGTGACAGTCGTCCCTTGCAAAGTATAGAAACTGCTAGATCGGATACCATTCATAATAATGAGAGCATATTTGAAAATCTTCAAAACACCGTTATGACTCGAGCACCTGCAACCAAATGCCTCAAGTGTGCCCAAAGAGATTATATTCTTTTTCAAATCAGGGGCATGTCTAACATTAGTGAGTGTCCTCACAGTGCCATCATGCATCTTGATACGAATAGTGCCCACAACATTGAAAACGCGTTGTTGTCCATTAAGACAGTTTCTCTGTTTCCTGAATCATAAATAACAAACAAATCCCTATTGAGACACATGTGATAAGAGCACTCTATATACAAATCCATTTATCTGTAGATCGCACCCTATCATGAGTGACAAGAAAAAAACTACCCTCACTATCATCAGCAGCAACACTAACTTCAACGGTGTTATCTTTCTTTTTGACCAATTTTTCCTTTTGTTTAATTTTCAATTTAAAACAATTGGCTTTAATGTGCCCCATCTTATGACAATAGTTACACTTTATATTTCGATGTTTAGATTTTGATCTAGATTTACTATTGCCATAGTTTTTCTTATTCGATCTTCTTCTAACAACTAGGCTCTCAACATTAGCCCCAATATTTTTTTCAGTGATATCTATATCTATCTTCTCCTTAGATTTCAAGGCAGACTTAATTTCTTGATAAGAGATAGATTTTTTTTCCCCATAAAATCATAGTATCACAATTTTTTTAAAAGTAGCAGTGCCTTATCCTTATATTCTATCTTAGGATCAATATTTTCCAAATCCTTAATAATCGAATCAAAATTATTAAGATGTGAAAGTAATGATGTACATTCCACCATTCGAAGCATATAAAGACTTTACTTTAGGTACAGACGATTATCAATAGATTTCTTAATGTACAAAGCCTTAAGTTTATCCCACATTGCCTTAGCCGAGGTCTCCTTAGCAACTTCCTGCAAAATCTCATTAGAAAAATTAAAGATAATGCTCGAACGAGCCTTCTTATCTAGCTCCAAAAATTTGGACTTCTCCATATCCTTGGGCATTTTTTCAATACTCTGGATAGCCAAAGCAACTTCATCTTGTACCAAAATGGCCTCCATTTTTTTATCTGATAAAAAAAAATGGCCTCCATCTTGAGCTACTATATCCCAAAGTTGACATTTATATCAAACTTCTCCACTACTGTCTTTGTGATTGTCATTATGTGGTAACAGAAGATTCCACAAATATAACAGGGGCTCTAATACCAATTTGTGAGGAATATGACCCAAACAAATATTTGTAGAACTTTAACAATGACAAAAGTAATAACAAGAAATTTAAAAGACACAAGAATATACGTGGTTCGGTCAAAATGATCTACATCCACAGGCAAAGGAGAAGCAAACTTTCACTATTAAGAAAGATTACAAAATAGGCTCGAATAGCAATTTTAAAGTCCACAACTCTCAATCTCCCAAAAGCTCTCAAAGCAAATCAAGTAAGCTACAATTATATATAGAAATTCTAGTTGTCTAATTTTGGTGTGTTCCAAAACCCAACCAAAAACTACAAATTTATAGAGAGTGACTTATGGCTAATTTGTCACCACAAGCAATGTATGACAACAATCTCTCTCAACTTTAAAAACACTCCAATGTGGGACAAAGCTACATAACAATAGGTTTGGTTTGAGTTTGAGGGGTTTTGATAGATATTGATTTGATACGTAATAAATATATGATATAAATGTGTACTAAATTAAATTTATAATATTAATAATAGTGTAATTTGAATATTAATTTATATTAATTTTAAATAAATATTTGTATTTTTTATTTAATCATTCAAATCGAAATTGGGGAAAAATCAATTTCAGATTTTGATCCCAAAATCGATGAACGGTGTCGATGATTCCAACACCGCAGGTTATCTCTTGGACGACGATGACCACAACAACTGG